AAAACCGTAGTCTCTACGTACCGTACCGTCCCTCTAGATACCCCCGAACGCCATTTGTAATTATTAGGTTTCAATGTATATTTTAGACTACCTGTCTGCGGATATAAAGTAACTATTCTCTTACTCCTCACCCGCGTATTCCTCGCGTATTGTCGTTATCAACGGGCGTATACGCACCCCTATCTCCTCGCCCCCCTCTACTTCCTAAGCTGGCGCCACCTGGCCCCAGAGCAGCGGTCTTCCTTCCCTCGCGGAATTCAACGACTCTCTTGGCGGCAGCCCAACCTAGCAAACTCGTGGTGCCGAGGATGAAACCCCAGACGATGATCTGATCCTTGCGGCTGTCGCGCTGAAAACAGGTGGTAAGGACGTCGGTCTCCTCGGCGTCTTTACAAATGGGAAGATGTTGCGAGAGACAGAATGCGCGGGTACATTGTGTGCATGAAGCTGAGGCGGCACGCTCTTCGAGATAAGGTAACGTTGGGTGATCGGGCTTGCCGAAGGAGGAGTCGCCTTGGGGACCGAGTTGTATTAGGGTGCTGTTCTTGAAGCAGGTACATTTACAGAACGTCGGCGCGGCTGTGATTGTGGTATTACAAGTCAGAATGGCTTATTACATATATGAGGCGTGAATTATAAATGCAGGTGTGTGGAACTAGGTAGGCAACTCACAAGCTGCGGCGACATAGGAGACGAAGACGCCTAAGAAGAGGATAGAGAGATAAAGTCGCATCGTATCGCGATCATCGAATGTCTACATGTACATATATATCTAATGCGATAGCGAGTGGAATTGCTTAGACATACCTAACTTAGTTCATTGGCATATATGAATTGTTGAAGTTGGGGGCATTTAATAGGTACGTGTAAGTTGAGAGAGCTGCGATCAAAGCGATTGGCGACAAAACGTACCTATGTAAGACCTAAGGTTACACTGACATGCCTAGAGACTGCAGGGATATTAAATGTACCTGTGGCTTGATGATCCACGGAGCCCCACGAAAGTGTACATTGGTACGGTACCTGGGAATTAGGTTTGCAGCTACCTAAGGAACTTTTGGCAATCGCAGATCGGAAAAAAAAAAGAAAGAAAGAAAGAAAGAAAAAAAAAGTTGACGACTTCCATCAAAGATAAACTCGTTACAGATTCACCAATTAACGACGATGCGACGCATACCACGATTAAGAAGACCCCCTGGTCTGTCAACCACAACTCCATGCTCTCCAATCGCTCCTCTAGTTGGCCAATGTATGCCTACAGCTCAGACCATCTCAACCTCATGTCGCAAATCGATAGCAACGACTTTTTCTCAACGTTCAGTATCCCGATTCTACTCGACCGATAAACAACTGAGCACCCAGACCCAAAATACAGCTCCTGAAATTGAGACGGCGCAAAAAGAGGAAATTGTCGAGGTAGTTGAACAGGATATAGAGGGAGCAGAATATCTCCCCGCGCAGTGGCAAACATATATTCCTCCACCTCAGCGTAGCTACGCCCAACGGTTGGATGCTATTTCGGATACCGGCTATGTCCCAGCGTTAACGGCGGACGGCCTGGAGACGGTTGGTGGATTACAAAACTGGTGGGATCAGCCGGAGAACTGGAACGCCGATTTCATCAGTTTCAAGCCGCTGACCCCGGTTCTTGACCCCACCGTACTCGAGACTTCGGTACGGCGGGCTGTTGTGGAAGCGTTCGCGCTAAGACAGGCGGGACGGGAAGATGAGTTGGTAAAGGCTTGGCCGGTAGCGGGGGAACGAGAGCTACAACACGTATTAAAGGTGGAAATGAATGTAGCAGCGGACGGTGCCGTATCGTTGACCGGTGATCTACCCGCGGTGTTGAATTCGCTGGTCCAAAAGGACGAGGCTGCTGTAACTGAGCCCATCGGAGGAGGTGCAAGCGTTCCAGTGCCTTCCTTGGAACAGGCTCGGGAGTACAAGAGTGCTTGGGGTCACGAATGGAAGAAAGCGTCCCTGTCGGACCCTCGGATCAAGTTTGCTGTAAGCTATGCTATCCAGAGTTCCTACTATCCCCTATCACAACGGAACGTACCATGGTTGCCAAACTAACACGAACATCAGATCACAAAGCGAATATTCCAACTCACTGGCCAACTAGTCCAGGACCATCAGCTCTCTAGCGTCACAGACGTCCGATCCCTATTACACACAGTGCAGAAACCTCCCAAACTCAAGACTCTAACAGAAGAGATCCAGGAGCGTCGCCAGGACCTTGTGCAGCTTCCCAACGTGTCGTTCGCGACGAAACGTGTTACGCGCGGTGACAAGGCGAAGGCGATCGGTCAGTTCAAGCTCGTTGAGGAGGAGCTCAAGAAGAGGGACCTACCGCTTGTGGGGCACGGCTTCGCACGCAAGAATAGGGAACTATCTAGGCTCAAGGGTGGTGTATAGACTAGCTACTCTCTACGCTAGACGCTATATCAACATGTCGACGTACAGCATCTACCATCCACTGGCCGTGTATATATAGAACAATACGATATGAAAATCGACCACGCACCGAGACGCATTGTGTTATCGCCTTGTCCCTGGGACGTTAAGAATGGACTATAATTTTGAAATTCCCGTCCCGACTGAAGGCGTAACAGCTGATTAGGGTTTACCTTACCAGATATATATCTGACCTGGAGGGAAGGTTCTTGAATATAGCCCATGCCTCTTGCGAGTTATGTGACGTGTCTAATAAATACTCGAGTGCTGAATCCGAATTTTATACGGCGAGTAGACGCCATGGTATTATTGTAGGAGGACGGGACCGGATCGAAACATTCGTATTGGTAACAGCGACGAATATAATTGTTACTGCCAAGCGTCATGAATTATTTATTTGTTTACAGGAAGACATGATTTGTGTACAAGCTCGTCCGTCCACATCCTGACATTTAGTTGGAATATCTTGATTAAATAAAGGGGAATCGACATGCATGTGGGATGATACCCGGTAAGTATTTACTTCTAACAGCCGTCCTAAGAGGATCACCGCTCGATTAGTTATAGTGAGAGGGTTCACTCCGTGAGATTAACGTTATCCGACAATCGTCGCTCTTGAAGTTTCGCGTCTGCATGCTCCTCGCGATCCTGTACGTCTGCGAGTTGAACCCTCCTCCTCGCGTCGATGTACATCATATATTCTTCATACGTATCTAATACCAAGTCAGTTATATATACGTCTGGGAGGCGCAAAAAGGAAAGATTGGGTAATTGTTGAGCCCGAAGAGGATAGGGGGTGAGGTGAGAATGTACGTACGTGGTAAAACCCTGACATCCTTGGGGACCGAGAACGTATAATTAAATTGGCCCGTTGGTCTCGCATTCCCGTGTTCGACATCCCTCACTTTGCTATCGACTCGAACATGTAGCCTCGTGCCTGGATTCTCCGCATCCTTCTGTTTGGGTTCACTCCCATCCTCTTCTAGTAGCGGCGGATCCGTATACACGACTGTCGCCGTCAAGTATAGGACACTGCCAACTGGTACAGGATTCCGGAAAGTGCACGGGTCGGCGCTGATGAAGGTTGGTCGTGCGTGCGCGAAACTCGCCGCGCAGCAAAAGGCTAGCTCGAACGTCTGCTTCAGATGAAAGCCTCCAAAGATCATAGTCTGGTGACGATTCCGATACTGCGGCTGCATGATAGATGCCGTCGAGAGTTGCGTTTTGGCCATGGCGAGCACGTTGTTCGGCTGTCTAAGACTATTATTTGGGTCGTGGTATGCTAATTGCTTGAGCCAAATCTTGTGGATCAGGGCCGACTCCGGGTCGTTGGGCTCCGTTTCAAGAAGAGAGGTCTTGAGCTTTTTTTTGTTGGCAAGGGCTTTGGCTTCACCGGCTTTGAATATTCTCTCCTCTTCGGGGGTTGAGTACTCTAGGCGTGGGATGTTGACCGGCTTCTTGGTTTGGGGGTCTAGAGCCACCATAGTGAAGGTGCACGCTAATAATACATCCTCCGGCTTGCTGGGTTCACCCTCGTCTCTAGCCCTGGCGACCTTGCAGGTGATTTCCACACTGCTCCGTCCAGAAGCGTAAGTTACTTGACCGCTGTATTCGAGATCACAAATCTCGGTCAGCGGATGGGCGATGGTAATCCTATCCAAGGCGGCGGTAACAACAGTCACGCCCGGCCCAGTATGTTTATACACGATGATTCCCGAGAGCGCATCAAGATCCATGAATACTGTACCTAGCCTGGAGTCTTAGTCAGATATATCAGCAGATGTGAGGGACGATTTAGAAACCTTATGTGACCAGACGAGTTAATGTAGGTATCGCTAAGCCAAGGATCACGGCCAAGAGGGAGCACGACTCGATGATAGCTATCGCTCATCCTCTTCGGACTAAGGTCGCGTTCCTGCGATCGAGCCTCGTCGGAAGCTACATCTTTCCCTTCCTGCTGCAACCTCCACGCTTCTATCCACGGCATCGGGAGGCGGTCGTCCGTGAGGCCACGGAATACACCGTCGGTACGGAGGGAAGCCGTGCCATGCAGACATCTCTTTGCTTTGGCTTGAAAACGAGCTCCGGCCAAGGCAGCGCAGGTATCCGGTATGCCGGATCTGGGAGCCAAAACAAGGAGGCGTTTAATTGGTAGACTTTTATAGATCATGGCCGAGATTTAAGATGATGTAACTGGTTGCTTAGAGTTGCATTAATACCTAACCTAGGTATCCAGGTACGTACGTAGGAACTAAATATTGTTGTAGGTCGGAGATGCAATAAAACGTGACGGAGCATTTCAGCACAACGGAGTCTTTTAAGTACCATGTATTCGGGTATCTCATCGGATCATTGCGGGAGCTCGGTACGCAGTAGGTACCTACGGACCTACTAAATCTGGGATGAATCCGGTAATTACAAATCTTATCCGTCATGGCAAGTGTAGGTGCAGACTGAACGGCAATAAAAATAAAGAAAAGAAAACGAAAATGACATTTACTGAAAAGATAAAATTACCAAGATTAACCCAACAAAAGATTAAGCGCCTCAGGCGGGGGTCGAACCCGCAACCTTGGGATTTCGAAGATTCCAGATTGACCTCATCGATCAGTCTTTAGAATTGTAAAAGTCCCACGCTCTAGCCAATTGAGCTACCAAGGCTTGACCAAGCTTGAAAGTGTGCTTCTTATGGCGTATAATAAGGTAAGCTACCCGAAGCAAGGTTTTAGTTATGTCGAAAGCTAAAATCATTGGCCTAACAATCTTTTAATCTTAGGTCCTCTTATCTCACGTAAGTACCCAAATCTTCTTGTAGCTCCCGCTTAAAAATACAACTTCAATTTAGCAAACTCTTGGCTTGTACAATATGAGATCCCGTATTTTTTTTAACTGCCATGACATCATCATCGCACTTACAAAAGGATAATGCTTGTCTCGAATATTACTTAAGTAAATCGGTTTCCAACCGGCTGAACAAGTTCAGGATCATCTTTCGTTAAGAGTATCTTGCTAACTCTGGTCTGGTGGAATCATAAATTCCTCCTACCCAAGTACATCGCTTCGAAAAGGGTTGAGATATACCAGGACAGGCGCAGTGCAAAGGTATCATTAGTCAAATTTAGACAGGATGTAATTTATGTAGATGGGATATGTGCTGTGTCAAGCTCGTGCCCGAGGACTCGGTGCGGGCCATGCCCCGTCTAGCTAATCTTCACATATCAGCTTCTCGATCCCTTTTTGATCATTGCAACACTGCGTTTAATTACGCTGGATCGGTCCAGTGCTCCTAAAGGCTTCAAGTTGGGCTACTGTAGCGCGGTGAGATCTTCTCCTAGGCTTAAATTCTTGAGGGGGGTTTGTGTTTGGCTGGCAGGGCTGGCAGGGCTGGACACGGGTCCGTAAGCAAGTTCATTTATGCGTAATATAATCTTTTTGCGTCTTCATTGGGCGCCCCTTTTTGGGCCGTGGATCTTTTAAGATGACTTCGATTTTCGAATTTTCAAGACTCTTGAGTTTTGACATTTTGAGGTTTCGGGCTTTCAATTTGTCCCAACTTTCGATTGTACATAACTAGTAAACTCGGGTAACTGTGCCACCCAAGAAGTGGCCTCATGCTGTTGGAACGGAAATTCCTGTAATAGGAAATCTGTTGGTACATCAATGACCAGGTTCCCATCGAGCGTATCCCCGATGGAGCGCTTGTTATTGAATTCGAAGATAATCCAGCGCGCTCTTTTCATGTTGAACTAGGCTACAAGGAGATCAACTAGCCATTGGGCGATGAATCCTTCGTGACTGAACAGGGTGTGATAGAGGATGCCTTTTGGACGTACGATATTGCTTATATGCTCTTAACACCGTAATTCGATGTTGGTCCTTTGCTTTCGTACGAAAATAGCCCCCACCCTTCGCCTTTTTTGGGCGGGAGTGGTACTTATCCGACGATCCTCCTATATCTATCTACTCGTGTTAGCGGTGGCTTACAACCGATGCGATTCACGCTTCAGAGGTGTGTTAGAAGAGTCTCGGCGTAATGTTGACGATAGTTATAGAGTATATATATGTATATATATATATATATAGGTGTATAGTACTTTGAGAATTACGTATCGTTGTCTTACACGGATGTCGCTACATGGGGGAAGCTATCGCGGTACGCCGGTGGCTTTCTGCGCTTCCTGCCTGCAATCTATGTCTCGCATAGCTGAATTGCCAGGTCTAAATAAGGCCAATTAGACGAGCGAGTAGGGGTTGTGAGAGAGAAACCTTGGCGGTTACCTATTTTAAGCCGTCCCGTCCAGCTCTCAGTAGATCTCATGCACCTGCTCTTCAAATTCCCCCCTTTCTCATCACTCTAACCTGTATCATGAATTTATTCTCCCAGTCCATCCCACAGCATTGAGGAATCTCAATATGGCCAGAAGCCTCCTCATTATTCTTCCACTGTTATTATTATGGTGGGTGGACACCATTCTCGCTTCCCAGAATGACTCGATCGTAGAACTCAGGATTACCGAGACCACTGTATTTCAATCGAGCAGGGAAAGCCTCCTGACTACGAATAATCAGCTCGGACAGCGACAAGTATCAACCGAAGGGTCTATTTGCGGCTACGAGAATGGCGATCCATCAAGTAGCTACTTTGTCTCCCCAGGCCAGGACTGTCGCCTTGATTTCCAGTATACTTTATGGAGGGGCTGCGATACGACACTAACCCATCTCTACGACTGTGGAATAGCTGCAATCTGCGTCGACGAATGGGCTTGCTCTACAAGCTGTGGATTGACAACAGAGACGGACGTCCTAACAATTACCTGGTGAGTTGGGGTATCCCACGCATATCCATGGCCCTGCCGATTAATAGTTACTCGCATTGTAGCACGGAATCGGATCCGTTTAAGCGTTACTGTGGCACGCAGCTCCTTTCTTTTAGTCAATACAAAGATCCCTTTACATCTATGGGTTGCGGGTCGAAGGCGTCGTCAGTTGTCTTGTTTGCTACACCTACATCCGAATCGACGAGTAGCACCGAATCAAGTTCGAGCATCGAATCGAGCTCAAATGCCGAAGACAAGCAACATAGCTCAACTTCTGGGCCAAATCTAGAGCCTACGACGAGTTCACAACCAGCCACGGGGCCGGCTTCAACCAACGTAGGTGCTATTGTTGGGGGCGTATTAGGCGGATTGGCACTCGTGTGTGGTACGGTGGTGGCTGTAGTATACATCTGGCGGCGGAACCGGCGAACGCGAGACGAAGGTCAAATATCAGGGCCATCTCAACAGGGAGGGGGAGATACGACGACACAACTACAGCCAGATAAATACATGACCTCTTATACTGTGGTACCACCTTCGGAAGCAGACAGCACCGCATTGGCTAGAGATCAGATACCGTCGTATGAGCTGTATAGCAATCCAAATCTGTGGCAGCAGCCTACACGAGCGGCAGAGCTAGGATAGTTGTATGATTATCACGTTTCCAGAAGACGAGGAGTTTGGATGATAATTATTTGTAGGTTGAGCGTATGAATTCCGAGAAATTCCGAGATACTTATGAATTCCAAAATAAGGACGTGGAAGCAAGGGAAAGGTTCTACTCTTTGTTATATTTGAAGCGACGTATCTCTGTATACCGTTGTCAGGTAGTTGTATGGATGAGCGTTTTTTATACGTGATTGGATTAATAAGTTTACAGTACTATGTAACCAGGTACACAAAGTGGATTGGACCTGGAATGATCGATGCAGAACTTAAAAAAGCTCGTCCCACTTCAGCCTCAGATTTTTTTTTTTTTTTTTTTTCCTTTCAGGGCTGCTACCTAGGTTAAAATCAACTAAGGTAAGCCAAGCTAAGCCACTTTTCGATTTCGCACAAATCCACAAATACGCGGGTGGTCCACTTTTAAATTCGTAGGGTTTTCAAACCCTCCAACATTTTGCCGAAAGTGCGGGTTGGTTCCAAGCAGCAACCTCTGGGAAATTCTCGTGCCTCTGAATCTGGAGAACTGAGACGACTTGCGATAGACGACCATTCATTCCACATCCAACCCCTTGATCGCAATCAGTCACAATGGTAAGTAAACCAGTCTTCAACGATAGATATTATCTAAATATCTACTCGTAAACTTTTCTCCCCAACGAATTTATCGCTAATGAGGATGGAAATTTAGGCGATCAAGCACAACAACCAGATTCAACACAACCGTACGTCCAAACCGAAGCCATTCTCAGAATACGAATCGATCAATTATAATTCCAACTCGTAGTACAACGACGAAACTGACTTGGATATTTTTGTAGACTTCCGAAAGGATTGGCAGCGCCGGGTCCGAACCCACTTCGACCAGGTATGAAAACGAAATGTAATCGAAGCACGAAGATTATTTTGAGATATTAACATGGGTGAAAAAACCTCTAGCCTACCCAGAAGATCCGCCGTCGCTCTCTGCGTCGTGCCAAGGCTGCTGCCGTCGCTCCCCGACCCGTCGACAAGTTGAGACCTATTGTCCGATGCCCTACCATCAAGTACAACCGCCGAGTTCGCGCCGGACGAGGTTTCACTCTTACTGAGCTCAAGGTAGAGATTCCCTTTCGAAAATTCACTCACGCACCTTACGTCAAATTCCCACATCCCCAAGCCAAATCTATGACACCTTTGAAAAATTTCACATCTTAAACCGTGTTATTCTAACGATCCAAATAGGAAGCCGGTATCCCCCGCCTTGTGGCCCCTACCGTCGGTATCGCCGTCGACTACCGCCGACAGAACCTCAGCGAAGAGTCGCTCGCCGCCAACGTCGCCCGTCTTAAGGCTTACAAGGCCCGATTGATCGTCTTCCCCCGCAAGGGCGCCAAGCACCCCAAGGCCGGTGACAGCAAGGACATCGACCTTAGCAACACCGAGACCGTCTCCGCCGTCGGAGCTTCCCTACCTATCGTCCCCGTGGCCGAGGGTATTTCAGAGATCAGCAAGAGCGATCTGCCCAAGGCGATCGAGGGCGGCGCTTTCACCAAGCTCCGCAAGGCGAGGAGCGAAGCCAGACTACAGGGTGTGCGGGAGAAGCGAGCCAGGGACAAGGCCGAGGCCGAGGCTAACAAGAAATAAGATGGAGGTCTCTTACGGGAGTATGGACGGCATTATCAGGGTTCTGCTTTCGTTGTGTTGTTGGACGGTCATGGCGGGTTGGCCTGCGGTTCCTGTGTAGCCAGGAGAGAAACAAAATATCATCGTTCTCTCGCCACACAACAAAGGCCGAAGCATTATTGCATCTTCCGGTTTGCTCTAGGTCGTTCTCAATGGAAAAATGAATGGACATCCTTTTTCTTCGTCTTCTAAAACACCGTGACGTGAAGTCGTAGAAACCGGCATGCGGATCAGGAAGTAGTGCTGAGTAGCATAACAACAAATACTTATTAATCATTGATTCCATTGAGAATCTACAACTTGAGACACTTTGCGTAGTTGTGAATTTGTGGATTTTTGGCACTAGGTTAGCTGGTTAGATCTACAGTAAGATAACTTCACTAATTAGTCCCAGATTCGACTTCCTCTTTCCTATCGCCAAGCACTAGCTGCCCGCCCGTTTTCAGCATCTGGATAAACACATCTTTTACATTCGAGGGAAGTTCATCCGGTCTGCCCTTCGCCAACTCAGCAACT